CCGGTTCTTCTTTCCTGGCGCGGCCCCGCCGCCTCCCTGTCCGGCCCTCCCTGCTCAGTGCTCTCTCCAGCAGGGGCTGCGTCGTCTGAGCCGTCTCCGAGCCGCCAGCGTGCAGGGAGCTGTGCAGGGCAGCCCTGTCACGGCCTGGGGACTCGGCGCAGCAGGGAGGGTCCTGCAGGGAGCTGGAGGCCGGCGCGTTGAGGGGCACCGGGCAGCGCCATGCACTGGACGCAGCGATGTGCATGGGACGCAGTGCCTGGGACGCGGGGACAGCGCTGTGCACGCAGGGACAGCCTCGTGCATGCAGGGACAGCCCCGTGCACAGAGAGCCCCGTGCACGCAGGGACAGCCCTGTGCATGCAGGGACCGCCCGTGCACACAGGGACAGCTCCGTGCACGCAGGACAGCCCCATGCACGCAGGGACACCCCGTGCTCTCAGGGACATCTCCGTGCACGCAGAGAGCCCTGTGCACGCAGGAACAGCCTCGTGCACATAGGGACAGCCCCGTGCACTCAGGGACAGCCCATGCACACAGAGCCCTGTGCACACAGGGACAACCCCGTGCATGCAGGAACACCCCGTGCTCTCAGGGACAGCCCCGTGCACACAGAGACAGCCCTGTGCACGCAGGGACACCCTGTACACTGAGGGACAGCCCTGTGCATGCAGGGACAGCTCCGTGCACGCAGGGACACCCCGTGCACACAGAGACAGAGCCAGGCATGTAGAAATATCCTGTTCAGGGTGTGCATGAGTGTCAGGCAAGCGGTGGCTGCCGCGAGCAGGTGAGGTGTCCCGTGTGTCCTCCCAGTGACAGGAGGTCTGCCGGCCCTTCTCTGGCAGCAGGGGCTCTGGCCAGCTGTTCCTGGCTCCCGGCTGGCCTCTCTGGCTGTGCTGGCCCCGGGGGAGGGCAGGAGCTCTGGGGCTTTGTCTGTCAGGGCGCCGAGCCCCCCTTCCCCTCCCCCCCACACCCCCTCCTAGTCACCATCCCTGAAGTTTCTCCTGAAATCACCCTCTGGGGAAAGGGGTTTCAGCAAGTGCTTTTCTTTGGCCCCTTCCAATGTTGACTTTGTTTATTTATGAAAAGTCGTTCACGATAATTTATGAAGTTCAATATTCCAACCCCAACCCCACCACCATGACACCTTCCCACCGCCCTTATTTTGAATTTTCCCAACCACCGCCCAAACCTGCCCGCATATCAGGCCCTAAATAATTTATTTTGCATTGTTTGTTATGAATAATCTGAGCGCAGTCGTTCGATGCCTGTCCCTCTCCTGCTGACTCATTTCACTCAGCGTGATGCTCTCCACGCCCATCCCTGCATAAGCAAATTTCATGCCTTCATTTTCCCTGGCGATTGTGTAGTATCCTACATTATCACTGTCACTGTCATCCTGTTGCTCATCGATTGCCTCGAGCAGGCCCCAGTAACGTGTCCTTTGTCCTAGCCCTGAGATTTTCAAAAGTGCCACATTCGAGGCTCTTTCAGGCTCAGGAGAATGAGACCCATCATTGTTACTGGTTTTTGGCATATTGAATACACCACATGGAGTTAGCTAGACTCTGCCATGTGGGCAGGATACATTTGGTAGCCTGCCAGGGTGTCCAAAGTGAGAACTAGATAATAAGATGTCGGGAGCAGGGTTTTCTAGTCTCTGGGTCTTGACCGTTGATGGGATTACTGGCGCTGGGGCAGTTGGTGGGTGTGACGCCTACTTACTGGAAGATGGAGGATCTGGGTGGAGGAGGCCCAGTCCCAATCCGAGCAGGTTTGGAGATCTACGCCCCGGATCCCGGAAGCTGGGTTCCTCTGCCGGTTCCTTCATGTGTGAGGCTCGTCCAAACATGTGGAGAGTGGTCTTAAGCATGGCTGTGGCTGGAACTGGAGGTCTTCAGCTGCCGGGGCTCTGCTCGGGGTGGGGAGGGACACTCAAACCATTCTGCTCCAAGGGGCCCCGGTGAGGACAGCCAGGCGCAGAGGCAGGAGACTCTGTGCTGTTCTCTTTCGAGAGCAGGGTTTTATTCTACATTATAAAGGTAAAGGTAAAGGCCCTCCCGTTGTTCATCGATTTGCTCGAGCGGGCCCAGTAATGTCTCCATTGGAGACTTTGTTGTTACTGTGTCTGGCATATCGAATACGTCACGGGGAGCTTGCCAGGCTCTGCCATGCGGGCAAGATACTCTCGGTAGCTTGCCGGGCTCTCCGAGAGGGGCGGAGGAATCGAACTCGGGTTTGCCATGTTGGCTGCGTGCAAGGCAAACGCCCTACCGCTGTGCTATCGCTCTAGCCCACGTTCTTAATCAGATCTATGAGTCAAAGTGACAACTGTTTTTCAAAAGTCTTTGAAGAGGGCTGAAAAAAATAAAGCTGTGAGCGCACTTCCTTCCGGGCAGCTGGTCTGGGCTCCCCAGGACCGCCAGGAGTGACCCCCGAGCACAGAGCCAGGAGCACAACTGACTATGTCCCCGAAGCCCAAGCGAAACAGAACACCGGAAGACCTTTCCTTCCATCCCGAATTTAAATGATATTAAGATGATCTGGTGCTTGAAGTTTCATCGGTTGCCCTCATAAGATAATTTGGGTCCAGTTATTCAATATGCCAAACACAGTAGCAACAAGTCTCACGATGGAGACGTTACTGGGTCCGCTCGAGCAAATCGATGAACAACGGGAGGACTGTGACCGTGACTAGTTTTTATAGTTAGTACTTTGATAACTAGTCCCTCATTCATCAACAGATTGTTCTACTCATCTATTGTACGTACAGCAAGATGACTTTGTATTTTCCTGAAAATAATCCATTTGGTTTGTATTGAGTTGTGCAAAATGACTTTTCGATTGTCCTCAATCTTAGTGTTGTAGCTTCTTACCTGTGTTTTATCTTTCAGGCGATCCTCAGTGGTGCTGTGGGGTGGGTCCCCCCATGTGAGGTCGCCCCAGGGGTACTCAGGGGGTCACACAGAACCAGAGGCCAAGAGTTGACTCAGGCTACTGGGCTCCCTTTCCGCCCTCTCTCTGCATTTTCTGTCTTTGTTCTTTTGATATTATCTAGTGGTTTATTGATTTTATTGATTTCTTTTTACAAAGAACTAACAGTTTGAAAGGTTATTTTCTATTTTTTTAAACTTTGATCCTTTTCCCTTTGACCTGTTACCCCTTCCTTCTACTTGTCTTTCTTTTGTTTCTAGTTTTTAAATTTGTCTATTAACGTTTTTTTCATATCAGTAATTTAAGATTTTCTTCTTGGGAATAATAATGCCCAAAAGGACAGAGAGAGAGAGAGAGAGAGAGAGAGAGAGAGAGAGGGAGGAAGAGAGATAGAGAGAAGAGAGGGAGAGAGAGGGAGAGGCAGAGGGAGAGCAGGAGAGGGAAAGAAAGGGAGAGGGAGAGAGGGAAAGAGAGAGAAGGAGAGAGAGGGAGAGAAAGAGAGGGGAGAGAGGGAGAAAGAGGAAGAGAGAGGGAGAAAGGGAGAGAGAGAGGGAGAGAGAGAGGGAGAGTGAGAGAGAGGGAGAGAGGGAGAGAGGGAGAGGGAGAGGGAGGGGGAGAGAGAAGGAGAGTCTGCTAGGCAGAGTTAGGCTGAGTGAGAGGTGGCAGGAGGGAAACGGGACTTGGTGGCAGGAAATGGACACTGGTGAATGGACAGGCCTTAGAATATTGTATGACTGTAACCCAATCATGAACAACTTTGTAACTATGTATCTCATGGTGAATCAATAAAAAAATATACATATATATATATATATGAAGTAGAGGCCCTCCCGTTTATCATCGATTTGCTCGAGCGGGCCCAGTAACGTCTCCATTGGAGACTTTGTTGTTACTGTGTCTGGCATATCGAATACTCTCGGTAGCTTGCCGGGCTCTCCGAGAGGGGCGGAGGAATCGAACTCGGGTCGGCCATGTTGGCCGCGTGTAAGGCGAACACCCTACCGCTGTGCTATCGCTCCAGCCCATGTTAGAGTAACTCCAGTGAAAAAGACTTATTCTCAGAATAAAGCCCCGCCCCCCACCCCAAACAGTGAAAAGAGCCACAAAGACAGGGCAGAGCGATAGCACAGCGGTAGGGCGTTCGCCTTACAAGCGGCCAACATGGCCAACCTGAGTTCGATTCCTCCGCCCCTCTCGGAGAGCCCGGCAAGCTACCGAGAGTATTCGATATGCCAGACACAGTAACAACAAAGTCTCCAATGGAGACGTTACTGGGCCCGCTCGAGCAAATCGACGAACAACGGGAGGGCCTTTACTTTACTACTTTACTATATATATGAAAGAAAAAAGTTTAGCAATTGCAGCCTTTAAAAACAAAAGCCAAGGTTTTCTGGTGAGGATGTGCTCAGTGGGAGACCATATGCCTTGGATGTGTGAGGCCTTGGGTTTGATCCCTGGCACGCGTGCGCACACACACACACACACACACACATGCACACACATACACACGCACACACGCACGCACCCTAAATAAAAAGAATTGAAGATTTTCTGTGATCGCTGGTTCATTGACAGTCTATTGTTAGTATTGATTACAGTTTTTAAAGGAAATGATACAATCAACATTTTCTATGGGAGCTATGAAATATTTTTTTCAAAATGGAATTTATAATTTTAGAAGGAACCAGGGAGCAAGGCTTGCACAAGTTTTAAGCTTCGGATCAAGAGGAATCTTTTGGGTGTTTGGGATGTTTGGGCTGTCCCAGCGGCTCAGGGCTTAGTCCTGGCTCTGCAGCCAAGGCTGATTCCTGGGGGGTGTCTGGGGGGGGAGTCCGGGGCTAAACTCAAGTGAACGCCATGCATGCAGGTATACCCCTGTGCTGTCTCGCCAGCCCAGAGCTCTTTTCATTACCCATGACTGTATTTAAAAATATTTCTCAGGGCAAAGGAACTAAGAAAAGCAACGCAAGCAAGCCTTCGTTAATTGGAGATACCACGTTTATTCACACAAAACAATCACAGCAAAATAAACACTAATTTAAAACAGAATAATATCATGACACCAGTTAATCGCCTTTCGGATTAGTCCGTAAAAGCTTTGAGCTTGCTTCAGCATACTCGTCTATGGCTAAAGGCCCAGCAAACCTGAAAATGCAGTGACAGCTTTCGTTTGGGAAGGACTCCGTCCAAACCCAAAGCGGTTAGGGATCGAGGTATGTTATGAAGCAGGTCATAAGGGGACAAAGAGCGACATCTATTTCTGGACCCACAGACAGACACATTCACTACCTAATCTGAGAAGTTAGTACCGCGACGGCCCCACACCCGCGATGACGTGTCTTCTGCTCTGACTATAAGCAAAGGAGGACAGAAGCTCCGGCCCTTCACTTGGCCTCGGACGACGCGCTCTCCAGCTCGTGGGAGACACGGAACTTGAGGTGAGCCTCCTCCACGCTGGGCGACTGCGCGTCCCCTTCCAGGCTCTGCGACTCTCGGCTGTGGGACTCCAGGCTGGCCGGCGACTGGGCTGACTCTTGGTGGCTGTCCCCGTTAGATGTCAGGTGCAGGCTGGGGGCCGACTCCTGTGTGTCCTCGTAACTTTCCATGTGCGACGTGAGGTCCTCTGAGTACTGAGCACAGGGGACAGAGTGAGCGAACAGCCAGGGGAGAGGGGAGTGTCACGCCTGTCCCCCTAACTTTCAGACCGACTTATCTGGAAAACGGTCAACACTTGGACCAAGTCAAAGAGAATTCTAGTGCACTAGGTCAGGGAGCGTCGGGGAGTCATGCCTGATCCCTGATCCCTGAGCCAGGAGTCAGTCCTGAGCATCGCTGAGTGTGGCCCCCAAACCAAAACAAAACAAAAAAATGGAGAATCCTGGCATGCAGGTTATCATTTTTACAGGCCAGCTGCTCCAGTTGAAGAAGTTCAACTATTCTGTCTGTGGTGACTGATATAAGGTGGGTTCTGTTGCGTTATCATCTGTTTTTAGGTAAAGGGAACTTGAATGAAATGTTTTAAAGTGAGGAGCTTAGACAATGTATTATAAAACTTGGATACTCTGAGCACAATTTTGTTGTCATTTGTAGTTTCTTTTTTTTTTCTTTTTGGTTCACACTCGGCGATGCTCAGGGGTTACTCCTGGCTCATGCACTCAGGAATTACTCCTGGCGGTGCTCGGGGGACCATCTGGGATGCTGGGAATCGAACCTGGGTTGGCCGCGTGCAAGGCAAACATCCTCCCTGCTATGCTATCACTCTAGCCCCCCATTTGTAGTTTTTTTAACACCTATTAAGCACTTAACTTCAGAGCATTCTATCACAAAAAGAATCGCGGTTTTCTATGGGTTTATTTTTATTTATCTATTTATTTTGCATACTCAGTGATGCTCAGGGCTTACTCTAGGCTCTGTGCTCAGAGGTCAATCCTGATAGAGCTCAGGGAATTCTGTGGGGTGCCAGAGATGGAACCTGGGTTGGTCACATGCAAGGTAAGTGCCCTACCCACTGTGCTATTGCTCTGGCTCCTATTTTTTTTTTTTTAACTTTTAAAATCTAAATATAGAGATGGGGGCTGGAGAGATAGCACAGCGGGTAGGGCGTTTGTCTTGTACGCGGCCGACCGGGTTTGATTCCCAGCATCCCATATGGTCCCCTGAGCACCGCCAGGAGTAACTCCTGAGTGCAGAGCCAGGAGTAACTCCTGTGCATCGCCAGGTGTGACCCAAAAAGCAAAAAAAAAAAAAAAATTAAATATAGAGAATAGGGCTAGAGCGATAGCACAGCGGTAGGGCGTTTGCCTTGCACGCAGCCAACATGACCGACCCGAGTTCGATTCCTCCGCCCCTCTCGGAGAGCCCGGCAAGCTACCGAGAGTATGCGATATGCCAGACACAGTAACAACAAAGTCTCCAATGGAGACGTTACTGGGCCCGCTCGAGCAAATCGATGATCAACGGGAGGGCCTTTATTTTTTTACTTTTTAGAGAATAGTTATGTACTCTCTATATACATTATATATTTTTTTGGGGGGGGGGCTGGCTCTGTGCTCAGGGATCACTCTGGCAATGCTCAGGGTACCAACCCAGGTCAGCCGTGTGCAAGGCAAGCACTTTATAGGCTGTTCTCCCTGGCCCCATGAGCAGAATCTCTTACTGAAAAAGCACCGTGATCGAGAGACAACATTAAGTAAAAGATACACAGGCTTAAATATCAAGAACCGCCAGAGGGTTTTGTGTTTAATACTCATAAAGCTGCAATCCTTGCTGAATGGGTGAGAGGATAAATCAGATGCACAGGCGCTGACCTCCTAGAACTGCACTGAGCTCGTCGCCATCGGTGCTGCCTCTTACCTGGATTTCAGAGCTCAGAAACTTCTTAGATTTCGCCCTCAGTTCGTAAGCCACACTGTCCCCTCGGCCATCACTTGTGTCTTTGGTGGGGGCAGCTGGGGTGAAAATCAGAGTTGCTGGGACGTCCACGGATGAGTCCGTGGTGGTTTCCTCGGATTCATCAGAGTGGTCGGAGTTGGCGTCATCGTCATCATCGGTGTCCTTGGACTCGACGGAATCCTGGCTGTCAGGTTGGTCGTCGTCGTCGTCATCCAGCTCATCCGTGCGGTCCTCACTCTCGGTGGACTTACTCGGGACGGTCTGAAAAGCAGCACGGGCGGGACAATGAGTCTCCAGGTTCTTTGATTTTTCTGGAGCCTATTCTGCACGTTCACCTTCTCTGTCTTTGGGTTGGTTTCAGATCTTACCTTCAACAGTGTCTCCAGTGGGTTTTGGGAGTGGAAGCAAGCACCTTCCAGGTTCTCTTTTAATGTCAGAGATTTACGGTCTGAGGTACTTTTTCTTGCTTTCTCATGAGAAATTAGGATTCTCAAGAGGCCAGAACATTTCATATGGTAATGTTTGCACACAGACTTGCAACTAACTCCCTATAAGCATGATACTTAAGTGATGACTGTTCCACCTGGGTATAAACCGAATCTCAAATCTGCCAATTGCTTAATGTTTATTGAAATTCAGATTAGGATCTATTCTGGGTCATTTATGGAACTTTCCTTATGAGGAATTCTTGTTATACTCAAGGACAATCTTTTTTTTTTTTAAATAATGTAAGAGTACCGCTATATATTCAGTCATTGGTTAAGCTGATTGAATATTCAAGGACAAGCTTAAAGGAAAACAGATTTTATTTATTTTGGTGATGCCAGGAATCAAACCCAGGATCTCACATATACCTCTGAACTACATTGACAGCCCACTAATAAACACCTTAACAGGCCTAATAAATGAAACAGTCATCAAACAAAGCATTACGTTAGGAACACATGTGTTTGTACAGGTAAAATCATCGCTTTGGTGTGAATTCATTAGATATTTGTCAGACATCAGCTAAATCATCTACAAAAAGAACCATTAAGTGAATTGTAAGATGCGGAGTATTTCAATTAACACTGATTTTTCAAAATTTTCTGCCCTAACAACTTTCCCGGAAGAAACCTGGTATTTCTCTTTGTTGGGGGAGGAGGTGCACCCTGCAGTGCTCAGGAATCACCCCTGGTGGGCTCAGAGGACCATGTGGGATGCTGGAATCAAACCTGGGTTGGCCACATGCAAGGCAAGTGCCTTATCCACAGGACTATCTCCCCCAAATCTGGTATTTCTAACATCTACTAAGTACACATTCCATGCCCAAAAAGCCGAGCAAGTTTCCAGGTGACAACGTGCTGAATTTGCTAATGGAATTTTGTCAAATTTGAACTTGAAGCAGTGCCATTCGGAGACTGACTTTTTGTTTGTTCTCCAAGCAATGGTTGGCCTGTGATTCAAAGTCAAAACTCACCTCTTGTTTGAAGCCATATGTGCTCTCAGTGGATACAGTTTCCTGAAGAAGAGAGGACACACATCACTGTACGTCATACATGCTTAACTTTTAAATCAGATTTAGTCTTCCCCTTATTTGTATGGAATTGCTCGAGCGGGCCCAGTAACGTCTCCATTGGAGACTTTGTTGTTACTGTGTCTGGCATATCGAATACTCTCGGTAGCTTGCCTGGCTCTCCGAGAGGGGCGGAGGAATCGAACTCGGGTCGGCCATGTTGGCCGCCTGTAAGGCGAACGCCCTACCCGCGGTGCTATCGCTTCCCCCCGGGCTGGAGCGATAGCACAGCGGGTAGGGCATCTGCCTTGCACGCAGCCAACATGGCCGACCAGAGTTCGATTCCTCCGCCCCTCTCGGAGAGCCCGGCAAGCTACCGAGAGTATTCGATATGCCAGACACAGTAACAACAAAGTCTCCAATGGAGACGTTACTGGGCCCACTCGAGCAAATCGATGATCAACGGGAGGGCCTTTATTAGCCTTCCCCATCATAGCAGGTGTTGTTTTCAGTTTTAAAGCAGGATGAAGCCCATGTGGCGGGTAGACAGATACTCACGGAAGGAAGAACTGTGCCAGCCATAGTACTGATGGCTACCTGCTGTTCTCTATTGTGATTCAGTTGCAAAAACTCCCATGTTTTCAGTTAATATTAAAAATAAGAAGTTTTTATTTTTTTTTGGGGGGGTGGGGCACATCTGGAGATGCTCAGGGCTTACTTCCTGGCTCTGCACTCAGGAATCACTTCTGGCAGTGCTCAGGGGACCACATGGACTTCCAGGGGTTGAAGTGGGTTGGCTGTGTGCAAGGCAAGAGCCTTACTTGCTGTATTATTTTTCTTCTGACTCTGTTTTTTTTTTTTTAAGCTATGTGATTACAGCATTTGGCTATTTATTGGAAAACTGCCAAAAAAAAGTCATGGTTAAAAAAAACAACAACAAAGCCACACATCGTAAATGCTATGCTGAAAAACACCACCATATTTCATCAGTCTTGATGGATGAGTATGATATGCTCGTATAAAGCCAACTGGGGCCTTAGATATGTCCCATTTCCCCCAATTTTTATTGAGTTACCGTGATTTATAATACTCATCAAATTTCATACCCTTTTTCTAATGTATTATTATTACTATTGTTATTATTTTTTGCTTTTTGGGTCACACCCGGCGATGCTCAGGGGTTCCTCCTGGCTCTGTGCTCAGGAATTACCCCTGGTGGTGCTCAGGGGACCATATGGGATGCTGGGAATCGAACCCGGGTCGGCCGCGTGCAAGGCAAACGCGCTACCCACTGTGCTATCTCTCCAGCCCCTAATGTATTTTTTCTTACAGATTGACTTAAGAGACTCCTAGGTGGCCCTTCCCTATGAGACAGGCTCACTTTCAGAGTGGTTCACAAACAGTCAAATTCACTTCCCACCCCTTAGAAGTTAGCTGACACTGTTCTTCCCATTTTACAGATCCAGAGCCCTAAGGAAACAACGAAACAAGGGAAAAAGCGGAGGGTGATGGTGAAAGCCCAGAGGAGCCTGGAGCTTCACTGAAGGGACTTTGAACTCGCGTGTCACACGGTGCTCTGTGTTTGCCCAGTGCGCGCTCCCGTCCAGAGCAGAGGTGCCCTTCCTGAGCGTCTCGCTACACTGCTTCTTCTAAGAAATTCTCCAACGACATCAGTCCCAGTTAGAAGCAACATCTGAGAGTTAGAAGTTGTCTCGGAGGCGGTTGTAACCCAGCGCGGATTTACAGCCGCCCAACTTCACAGAGTTCTCTTGCCCTGGGGTCTGCCTGGAACGCCCTTTCATTTTGCTCAGGCGACTTTCTGGTGAGTAGAATATACGAGGGCAGATTGCCCTGAGTCCCTGCCTCCAAGGGTGGTACCTCATGTCCCTGGCACTGAGACCAGAGCTCATTCTGCAGCCACTGAAGCGCGGGTGCCAGCCAGCAGCCCCTGGGGTCTCTGCTGGGCTAAGTCTACCCAGAGAGGCTTCACTCTGCTTCTTCCAAAGAATGTTTCTTGCACGAAAGGCACCGGAAAACTCCTGCACTTCAAGAACCCAAAGCTCCCTCCTTAAAAGCACATTAATATGAGTATTCATATTTACAGACCATGTCAAAGAACCCCCTAGGGACACCTCGCAAGCCTTCTCTCAGGGCCTTTGCCATGCAAGCCGAACGCCGTCAATCCAGACACTTTCCCATTGGTGCTTGCTCTGGTGCCAAGGACTGGGACTCTCTGTGCCTTTTGTTCAAATGCCCTGCACAATGCCCATTTGTTTGGCTGGCACAATTTCACCTATTGTGGAGGGGCAGGTACTGCATGAGAGTGCTGGCTAACTACTCAAGGCTTTGCTCACATACTCAGCTGGGAAAACGTGATCTGAAGTCAGTTGACTCTCACAACAAATCCTAACAGCCTACGTTAGAGGCTTTCTCTTGAGGACAAGCTTCTGAGCAATGTATTAGGACATCTTGAGGCTGTAGCCTCCATATACAAACTGTTCAACATCCAAGGTGCGTTTTCAACGCCTTCCACTGAGGAAAGCAAAGAATGTACCTTTCTGCTTCTAGGATAAAAGTATTTGGGTTCTTTTTTTTTTTTTTTGGAGGGGGTTGGGAATGAAAAAGTCACAGTGACATAGAACTCCTAAAAACATAAACCTTATGCCTTAAAAACGCATTTTGTTACACAAAATAAACCCGGTTTGGTTTTAAGAGCCTGTGTTTGTTAATATCCGTTCTTGGTACTGGGCTAGAAGCAGAGCAGGTGCTGACGAAAGACTATGATTAAGAAACGGTCAGTGGCTCTGCTTACAGGGCATCTCGGGGATGCTGGGAGTAACGGAACCGAGAGAAACCGCAGGGGTGCTTACCTGCTTCTCCTCTGAGCTGCCGGAGTCTGTGGTCTTCACCTTTGAAGAAGAGGGGACGAGGAAACATTACCATATGAAGGAAGGCCCGCCCAGCTCAGGGCATGCACGATTCATCTGTTTTGATGAATTTTATTTCAGGTTCAATATACTCACCGGCAGGGCGGAGGCAATGCCCAAGAGGCAAAGGCAGATCACGGCAGTTCTCATGATATTGATTTTTTTTTCCCCCTGCAAAATAATGGTAAGAAAGACGTGATTCCTTTACGGGTTGAAGGGGATATTTTTTACACTGTGCATTACAAAATATAAATAAATAAACCCAAACAAACAAACAAACAAACAAACAAAACCCAACCAGACCAAACAAACCACCCCCAAAACATGTCAAACATGTCTGAATATTGTTTTTACTTAGATAAGCCTTTCCTTTTTGAATTACTAATTGGAGTTAATATTTGTAATGCTGTGTCTATTTCCTATTTCTTAGGCAAGCAAGGAAGTAATTTTGCAAGTCTGTGTCTATTCTACATTAAAATTCACAATTTCAAAAACGGTCCCTTCACTACCTTGTATCAAGTCATGTAAAACTTAAAAAAACCCAAAAAACCCAATAGTAATTTAAATTAAACATTAAGGTATTTAAAAAAAATCCAATAGTAATTTAATTTAAACACTAAGGTATTTAAAAAATGCAATAGTAATTTAATTTCAACATTGAGGTATTTTTGAAAACAAATGAGATATGGTAAGAATATTTTCAGAGAATACAAGAGAAAGAGAGAAAATAAAATTATGAAAGAACTGTGCTCTCTGCATACATTGAGCTGAAGTTTGCAACTCAGAGTATTAACACAGTGCTACTTAGGCAAAAAAAGAAGTTGTCTCTAGCTCACCTCTCTTTTCTTTTTTTTTAAGTCAGGCAGTCTAGAAAGTCGAAACAGAAAATATGGAAAACTGATAATACCCCATTTAATTTGTGATAAATAAATCTATAGGGGGTCACAAGGCATCTTGGAAAAAAAATTTTAACCGCGAAATAAAGGAGTAAAATACCCAGAAAGGGGGTTTTTTTTTTTGAACTCTTAAAAAAGAGGCTGCACCAAATCATTAAAAATAGAATTATCACTGGATTAAGTAAGCACCAAGCACCCTATTCCATGCCTGTGCTTTAAAAAAAAAAATCCCTTTCTTTACTTCCCCACGTAAAAATGATGCCAGGATGATCCAGGGACACCGAATCCGACTTTTCTTTCACGGAGAAAAGTCTCCCCGGCCCTCCCGCGGTCCCCGCTGGTCCTCCCCGCGGCTCCCCACCCCAGCGCTCCTGGCCGGGGATGCTCGCGTCTCCGCGGAGACCCAGGTGCGCTCAGGTGCGGGAGGCGGGAGGCGGAGCCGCGGGCGGGCGGCCTTACCTGGGCAGAGCGTCGGGTCCGCGGTGCCTTCTGCTGACCGGCCGGACCTCGCCGCGTTTAAATGCTGCCGCAGCCTCGCTCCAGCGGCGCAGCGGGGCGGGGTGATGTCACGAGGCGCCCGGCCTCTGCTCGGCCCACTCGCGCCCACACTTCCCCCTCTGGTTTTGCGGTCCAGAGACAAACAAACACCCGCACGGAGCCAACCGTTAAAACATTTACTTCCATGCAATGAATGTCATGAACCAGCTTGGCCGGGGAGGGGTTGGCGGTCAGCATCCTGGAAGGGCCACCCTCTTCCTCCAGCAAAAAAGAAAAAAAAAAAGGAAAAAAAAAAAGAAGGAAACGACTCATCCTTACAAAGCCTTTGGAGCATGAGAAAGGAAAAAAAAATGAATAGGAGCCAATTCTAAATAAAAAAAGAAAGAAAGAAAAGAAACGCCACGATTTGGGGGCTGTTTCAACAACAGATTAGGAGACCAGGTACCCCCCACCACTCAAGAGCTTGCAAGGCTGTGGTGTGGTCCAGGGGGTCTGACTCCTGAGAAGCCCCCTCCAGCCTTGCTGACTGAGACGCAGAGCCCAGTTTGTAAGCAGCAGTGCATCCTGGAGACAAAGGGCGCTTCTGGCATTAAAATTCATGATCCTGCCCATTAAGCTGAATTCCCAGCAGCCTTTCAAGGGCATGGCATGGACTGTTTGTTCTCAGACTTGTTTAGAAGCGCTGCCTCTGCGCCTTGGCAGTGGGGCTGCAGAGAAGGAACTCTGGCTGCCGCAGTGGAAACCCCCCACCTCACTGCTGGGAATCAGGGCCCAAGCCCGGCTTGCCCTGCACGGCTGCTGGGCAGCTCGGGGTGACCTTGGGCAAATCACTTCACCTGCCCAATGAACCGACTTTCGCCTAACCAGGAGGGGGGCTCCGAGACGTTTGTGTGAACCAGTGTTCCTGAAAGCGATCTCTTTGGTACAGCTCGGAAATGCCTGCTTTAAGCACGGGTTGTGTGTTAACAAGTACTGACATTTTCAGAAGAGCGAAGCTGTCATGATTCTTAATGGCTTTATTCATTCTTATTTTTGCTTTAGTTTTTGGGCTTACACCAAGTGGTGCTCAGGGCTTACTCCTGGCTCCGGACTCAGAACTGTCTCCTGGAGGGCTGGAGAGATAGCACAGTGGGTAGGGCGTTTGCCTTGCACTCAGCCAACTCGGGTTCGATCCCCAGCATCCCATAGGGTCCCCTGAGCACCGCCAGGAGTGACCCCTGAGTGCAGAGCCAGGAGTAACCCCTGTGCATTGCCAGGTGTGACCCAAAAAGCAAAAAAACAAAAACAAAAACAAACAAAAACATAAAACTGTCTCCTTGAGGGGCTCAGGGCCCATATGGGTTCCTGGGAATAGAACCCAGGTCAGCTGGAGGCAAGGCCTTTCCTGCTGTATGATGGCTCTACCCTCCCCCGTGCCCAGCCTCCCTGAATTTAAATAAGAGTTTATCAGAATGAAACCTGATACAACCTCTCTGCGCTGTGCTTATTCATAGCTGTATACCTCTAAAGTAATCCATTTGGTTTCTGAGTCATCTGGTTTTCTATTCCATATCCAGAATATATAAATTTGATTACTTAGTAAGTAAACAAAAGTCCCTTTTTAGGGGGGTGGTTAGGGCCACACTAGGTGATGCTCAGTGGTTCTCACTTAGGAATCACTCCTGGTGTCGCCCAGGGAACCAAAGGGGATGGTCCACGTGAAAGGAAGGGCCCTACCCACTGGACTATCTCTCCGGCGCTGAAAACAGCAACAGCAAAAAAAAAAAAAAATCTGTGTTAAAAAATATTTTGCCGGGGCTGGACCGATAGCATAGCGGGTAGGGCGTTTGCCTTGCACGCAGCCAACATGACCGACACAGGTTCGATTCCCAGCACCCCATATGGTCCCCCGAGCACCGCCAGGAGCAATTCCTGAGTGCATGAGCCAGGAGTAACCCCTGAGCATCGCCGGGTGTGACCCAAAAACCAAAAAAAAAAAAATTTTGCCTTGTATCTGACAGCAGAGCTCAACAGTCATTCATTTAAACTACTCAGGACCAGAGAGATTGCACAGCAGGAGAGGCACTTGGCTTGCATGAGGCCAACCCAGGTTCAATCCCAGAGCACCATCAAAAGCGATCTCTTGAGTACAGAGCCAGGAGTGAGCCCTGACAACAGCGAAAGGTGCCCCTTCGTCCCCACCCCCTCAAGTTTAACACAGTCGAAATGTTCCGTTATCTCTTCATCTTCTTTTCTCCATTGTGAAGCGGGGATTAAGCGGTTCAGTTATCTCATACTTGCAGGGTAAGAATCCGGTTTGACGTGAGATGAAAGATACAAGATCCCAGGGGCCAGAGTGATAGTGCAGTGGGTAGGGCATTTGCCTTGCAACTGCTTACCTGGGTTTCATCCCTGGCATCTTACATGGTCCCCTGAGCCCGCCAGGAATGATCCTTGAGTGCAGAGCCAGGAGTAACCCCTGAGCACTGCTGAGTGTGGCCCAGTCTGCCCTCCCCCTCCCCAAAAAAAAGAATGGAAAAAAGGGATAAAAGGTCCTATTTGTTGTTATTAGTTCTATTTAAGGCGTCAGGTCCTGTTTATGAAATATTGCTTTTTCGGGGAGCATCGAACCGCATCCGATGATGCTTAGGGGCTTACTCTCAGCTCTGCCCAGAAGGGTTCTCTTCTTATGGTGCTCAGAGTTCAGACCAGGGTTCGACCTTGCATATGCCGGCCTCATAACAAGGTCCGCAGACGTGCAAGGCTGTACTTTCTCCCTGACACCCAGCTTTTTTACTTTTTGTACAAGCATGACTTATGATGATTTGTCATAGCATGAATCGTGAGACTGGTCCACACACGCGTGGCTGGGGGGCAGTTGCAATGTGTTTGCAACGCGGCGATGTTGTTAATTTGGAGGTGCTCCGCACACGTCCCCATAACCCGGGCTACAGCCATCAGAGCAGACCAGAAAGACTTCCTTCTGCTTTCAAAAACTTTTTTCCCCTGCAAACATCCTCCACCTGTTTGTCACGTTGTTCATTCAAGGGAGGGAAGACCAGCTCGGTGGGTGCTTGCTCGGAACCAGGCATTGTGCAGACACTTAACTTCTGAAAACCAGCAAGATCTCCACAGGCTTTACTGTCGCCTGCTCTGCGCCCACGGGAGCGACTGAATCTGAGTCCAGAGAGTTACAGAAAACGCCCTGGGGTGCTGGGGTGAGCCCCCCGGGCACCGACAGAGACCCTCCCCGGCCATTGCGCAGAAGCGCCGCCAGGGGGCAGCATATTCCAGACCCTGTGCTGGTTGGTTCCCAACTGGTCTTGGACTCTTTTGCTCTCTTTTTGCATTTCCCGGGAGAAATGCAGGGCACAGGCAGCGCCTGCAGTTCCCGGGATGCTGGGCGAAGCAATGCTGCCCTCAGGGACCGGCCGTGCAGACCACCAAACGCCCTACCCGCTGTACCATCACTCCAGCCCCTTGTGTTGGCTTTTTGGGTCACACCCGGCGATACACAAGAGTACTCAGTACCACAGGGGCGGTGGGTGCCCCTGGCCATCCCCAGAAGGCCTTTGTCTCCTTCCCCCTTTCCCACAGTGATTCCCCACAGGGGCCGGTCCAGGCCCCTGTGAGCTCACGGGGCAAGAATGCGTCTGGGTGCGTCAGAGATGAGTCGATACCCGGGCTCCGGGGTGATGTTCAGACTCACCCTGGCCCTGGAAGGGGCCCAGCTGGGTGCTTCCTCGGAACCAGGCAGTGTGCAGACACTGAGCCCAGGTTCCCGTGGTTGGG